CAGCCCCACCTCCACCCTGGAGAGCCGGGACAGCGGCATCATCGGTGAGTGCCCGGCCCGAGCCCTCCTCGGGCGCTGCTCGGCCCCGCGGGATGGGCTGGGATGGGCTGATGGGGTTGGTTTGGGTTTGGGGGGCATCTTCCAGATTGTTCAATTCCAGGGGCTTCCACAGAACCTTCTGAACCCTGGAGAGCCGGGACAGCGGCATCATCGGTGAGTGCCCGGCCCGAGCCCTCCCCGTGCACTGCTCGGCCCCGCGGGATGGGCTGGGATGGGCTGATGGGGTTGGTTTGGGTTTGGGGGGCATCTTCCAGATTGTTCAGTTCCAGGGGCTTCCACAGAACCTTCTGAACTTCCACTATCTCAGGTTGCTCCAAGCCCTGTCCAACCTGGCCTTGGACACTTCCAGGGATGGGGCAGCCACAGCTTCTCTGGGAGTTCCATTCCAGCCCCTCATCACCCTCACAGGCAGCAATTTCTCCCCAATATCCCATCTAACCCTGCCCTCTGGCAGTGGGAAGCCATTCCCTCTTGTCCTGTCCCTCCAGGCCCTTGTCCCCAGTCCCTCTCCAGCTCTCCTGGAGCCCCTTTAGGCCCTGGAAAGGGCTTTAAGGTCTCCCTGGAGCCTTCCTTTGTCCAGGCCAAGCAATCCCAGCTCTCTCAACCTGTCTCCAGAGCAGAGGAGCTCCAGCCCTCTTGGCATCTCCATGGCCTCCTCTGGACACACTCCAGCAGATCCACATCCTTCCTGTGCTGGGACCCCAGAGCTGGATGCAGCACTCTAGTTAGCTAATAGATATTATTTAGGTAATACCCCTGTATTTGCTGATTAGGGAGGTGGTTTTGCATTATTCAAGTTATAACTGCAATGACCAAGGTGAACTGGACCCCTGCATAGCAGTTGGTGAAAATTGGGAGGTAAGAGGTTGATAACTTTGCATCAATTAATTTACTTTTAGATCTTATTTATACGGTGAAAGAGGAAGCCTTGGGCAGAGCTGGGTTAAATCAGCACAGATAACCAGGTGCTCTAGCAGGTTTTTCCCTTGGGTGATCTGTAGGTTGTAAGTGTAAGGAATCTGGAAAAAATAACCTGCACAGATTAATTTCTGTTCAATAACTGGAAAGGCACAATGGGAGAACATTGATGGCTGTGTGACACCAGGATGGTCCTCGCTTGGTTGTCCTTGCCATGTGTTGTATGTTGAGTGTTTCTCCAGCTTAAGAAGATTTTACTTTGCCAGCAGTTTATGTAGTGTTTAAAAAAAGAAGAAAGGCAGGTTGATAATTTTGGGAGGTTTGTTGCACTAGTGATTAATATTTTGCTTGGCTGATCAGGAAATCTGGGCTCAGTTCAGCTCCTGCATGCCACAGCAACCCTTGCAGCACTTCTGCCTGCGTGATCTTAAAATGCAAATGGGTGAGCTATTCTGAGCTGCTGCCAAAGTAGGTTAATGAATCCTGGGAAGAGTCACTGCAGGATCCCACCCCCTCAGTTCTCTGCTCACCGTGTCCCACCGTCAGAGCTGCACCTTCTCCCGCAGCCGCCCCGCAAAGCCGGGCTGGGCTGGAGCACCACGGTGAGTAGATGTGGGTGTTGGAGCCCAGCTGGGTCCAGCCTCTGGCTCAGCTGTCACTCGGGTCTAAGACCCGAGCAAAGCCTCAAGTGGAGCAGCAGAACTGGCAAAAAACCAAGTGTGTTCTCTGCTTTTCCAGCTGCTCTTCCTGGCGAGGTCTTGTGGGTGCTGCGAGTTGGTGTTGGGCTGGACCGGCCTCGAGGGGGGTTGGCAGGTGCCAGCCTGAGGCAGTGAAACCATTGAGTGCTGCAGTTTGGTTTTATCTGGACTTGCTTGTCCATGTGAAAGCCAGAGGGGCTTCTGGGTGGCCTTTGTGCTTCACCTGGGTGGCACAGAAGCATCAGCACCATCCCAGTTCCTGACACGGTGAGGTGTTGAATCCTTTTGCTCTGACTCCCAGCCCTGCCCTCTGTTCAGTAGGTCTGTAGGAATTAATTTTTAAATCTGATGCATTTTGTTTCACCTTTCACGAGGAAGATTCGCTCTTGGAGGTCCTCCTGTGGGGAACTTAGATTTTCCCATGGAAACTTTGGAAATAATAGAAGGTGGCTTATCCCAAGGCTGTGTTAATGCATCCCAGATGGAAAAGTCGTGTAAAAATGAGCTGGTGTGGAGTAAGGGAAACACTTTTCAAGGCTTTCAGAAAGCAAGGCTTTCCTTTGCCAGTGTTTGCACTCAAAGGAAGACAAGGGCTTCTTTCCTCCCTTGTTTCCTCTCCCCCTTTATTTTGACAATAACATTTTCAACACCTTATCCTGGCGTTTGACAGAAGCTGAACAGCTGTAACAAATTGGGTGGAAAATGGTCTTTTCCAGCCAGGCTTTCCAGTAGGGAAAAAATCGGGAGGTTTTCCACAAAACCTGATTTTGTGAACCCCCCACTGTGTCCTGCAGGTGTCAGCTCAGGGGAGGCTGTTCCCTGTGGGAGGTGGGTGCAATTTGGCCATTACCCTCCCACTGGGACGGGAATTGGGTGTGCACAGGTGTGAAAGGTGCTCCCTGCACGACAGCAATTCCCTGGAATTGTTTGCACTGCAGAGGAGACAATTTGTCCACCTGTAGGAAGCAAAACCCATCTCGTGCTCTGCTCTTCCATTTGGGAGCAAATCAGGTCCATGGCTTCTGGAGGGTCTGGGGTCATTCAGGTTCATTCCTCATTTTTTTGGATACAGCTCTCATCTGGGAGGATGACTGTGATAAAGGGGTTTTGGTTGGAGCAGCTTCACGTGGTACCTCCAATCTGTTGGAGATTTCCTTGTCCAAACTATTGGTGGCTTTGTGCCAATTTTCTGTGTAGGAAAATAGCTATTTCCTTCAGTGTTTTGTGTTTCCTGAATCATGGTCCCTCCTGTTTCTCCCAGATCAGGGATTTCAGCTCTTAGCCATTGGCTCCAGGAAGGTGTATTTTGGTGAGAGGCAGCTCCAATGTATTTCTTACTCATCTTGATAAAAGATATGGCTTTGGGGGCATTGTCATGATCTTTGCCACCTGTCAGTCCTGAGCTGCCACGAGCATCACCCCCAAATCTCACAGTGCTGAATCACCACCAGATTTCATGTTTTAAACCGCCTGAGGCTGTAACATGTCCCAGAGGGTGAATGTGCTATTTGCAAAACATTTGAGAGTTGTCAAAGGACAGAAAGCAGCTAATCAAGGCAGGAAGTCCATCCTTACACCGTCTGGCATAATTGCTTCTCTCTGTGTGAAATGTTTTTAGAGTCATAGAATCCCCTGAGTTGGGAGGGACCCACAAGGATCATCAAGTCCAGCTCCTGGCTCTGCACAGGACCAACCCCAGGAGTCACCCTGGGGGCCATCCCAAGGAATTCTGTGCATGTTAAACTCACTTTACATGTCTCTATTGCTAGATACAGCATTAGTTTGTAAAAGTTAATTCACTGTATGGCTCTTCAGACCCCAAATTAACTGTGTTAAGAGCTTAACTATCCACCAAGGTGAACAGAGTTTGGATGTTGTAATCTGGATTTAGTAAAGACTAAGTTTTAATGAGTCAGGTTTTCTCTGATGACTTGTCCTCTTGGAGTTATTCCTGTCCATTTCTATGTCACCTCTTACATAATTTCAGTTATTAGAGAACAAGTGTGTCCTGCCTCTGATCTGCACAGTGCAGGGACTATTTCATGGCTTTAATGAATGCATCACTTGGGTTGGAACAGACTTACTTTGAAATGTTTGATCCTCCAAGGTAAAGGGAAGCTCAGTCTGAAAAAAAAGTTACAAAATCCAGATCTTTACATTCAGATATTTCTTATTTATAAAAGAAAAGCAGCGGGGAAGGGGGCAGGAGGGGAGCCAAGAGGAGAGGCAGGAGCAAGTCAGCCCTTTCTCCTGGATGCCACAGAATCCTCTCCGTGTAAAACAGGCTGGCTGGTGAAAATCCTGACCTGGCTGTAACCCCTGAACAGCTTCCAGGATTTTTTGGCTCTCGCTGTGTAAGAGCAGCCAACTGTTAATGTCCAAAAATCTGCTACTGAAAAGAAAACTGGTCAGAGAGCCGTGTGCTGCGCCGGGGGAACTTTGCACCTCACGGCCCCGCCGGCGTGGGCTCGGGAGCTTTGCTGCTGGAATGCAGCAGAACATGGGAAAATCTGGGAAAATCTCCACCAGTCTTACCAAAATCCTGCAGAACAGACCTGCAGACGTTTCTTGCCACTCTGCAAAGCTCACCCAAGCGATGCTCCAAGCAGCACTTTCTGCCACGAGCAGCAATCTCCCGAGGGAAGGAAAGGAAAGGATGTTTTCCGTGTGGCATCTTCCCCTGGAAGTGCTGTCGCTCCCCCCCGGGTGAAATGGGGCCACACTTCTTGTTCCCATGATGATCTACACTCTGTTCCCTGCTGGATTGTCAGGGGATCATCCCGAGCAGGGACACAGGTATGTTGGAAAAGCAGCTTAGAGGGAAAGCAGCGAGCTGTGGAAATCCTCCTGCCCTGCTGACGTGCACAGCTCTGATACCGTGTGGACCAGTTGCCTTCACTTGGATTTTGTGGATTTATTCGATGAAAAATGACATGTAAAAGAACCCTGTCCCCTCCTGGGAGTCCCTGGCATGTAGCTTTTCCCTCTTAGTCTTTTTTTTTTTGCCGTTTTTTCCTCTGATTCCTGAGCTTTTATCAAGATGCCGCTTTCAACAGATTTATGTATTCGTGGGTTAAAAATAGGTTTGTTAATAAATTCACCTAAGTGCCTGCTAAGCAGAATAGATGCTGCTGACAATAAAACAAGATGGATTTGTTTGCAACTTTAACTGCTTTGAGAAAGGAACAAAGAGCAGCTCCGAAGGCACATCAAGATAAATTTAACTCAGGTTAAATATTTTTGTGATCTTACAGTTAAAGCATTTGAATTCTGACATTCTCATCAGTATTATGAAATGCTCTGTTAATAATGAATAAGATTTCTGAGAATTACAGATCTTTTTTTAAATCTAGCCAGCTTCCATTTGG